GATTTTCTTTTTAATTGGAAATGGTCAGTTTTCAAGAAATAGCTCTCAAGAAGATGGTTTTGATATCTTTTGAAACGTCAGTAGATTTTGTTTTGTTTTTTAATGTTTACTTATTTTTGAGAGAGGCAGAGAGAGAGTGAGCAGGGTAGGATAGAGAGAGAGGGAGACACAGAATCCGAAGCAGGCTCCAGGCTCTGAGCTGTCAGCACAGAGCCCGACATGGGGCTTGAACTCACGAACCCGGAGATCATGACCTGAGCCGAAATCGAATGCTTAACCAACTGTACCACTAAGATGCCCCAAAATGTCAGTAGATTTTGTATTGGAAAATCAAAAGGACCAAAGGAAATCATGTCCCCTCTTGTTACAAACCTTTTGTGATGAAATTATAATTAAATCTGGCCATGAAAAGAAGGCTAATAGTTTGTGAATAGTTTATTTATAGGATTAAGAAGGTAACAAGGGAAATTTTTGGGCTACATAAAACAAATTAGTTTGAACATCCTTGAAACTGTTTTTGTAACAGTCATAAGAAATAATTGTTTTAGCAACAAATAATTGGTCTAATCTCTGTACAAACTATAAAGTATACATGATGTGGCCAAACCTGTTATCCACCTGAGCCACAGCATAATGGTGTCAAAGGGGACCCTGGTGCTCATCTCGGGACCATATTGTATTTTTAACCATTTTTAACCTCAAAAACATGCATATGAAAGTAATAAAATATCCAAAAATATATCTTGCCGTTGAACTTCTGCTTACTCTTACTGGTTCTCACATCTCTTCTGTGTTTGTGTCTGCATTCCAACTCCTGCTTCTGGTGTTATGTGTATTTACTGAAAAAATACTCTCTAGAATGGCCACTCTGGATGAGATCCTGACCCAGGTGGTGAGAGGTTCATGAGACATAGTCCCTGTCCACAAGGAGCTCATGGTTTCAAGTGGCAGTAAGACCCACACAGAAGAACTGAGTCATAAAATAGGACCACGTGTGAACTAGTGCCATGGGAGCTACTAAGTGCTGTAGAAGTTCATAGAAGGTTCAATTGCTTGTAGCCTGCTTTAAGGAAAAAAATTATAACAAGAATTTTTCTGTCCACTTGCTTTGAGCTTTAGGGAAATCCTTCAGGTGTTTAGGCGTCAATTTTCTTTTTTAAAAAACTTTTTAAATGTTTATTTTTGAAGGAGAGAGAGACAGAGTGTGAGCAGGGGAGGGGCAGAGAGAGAGAGCGAGACACAGAATCCGAAGCAGGCGCCAGGCTCTGAGCTGTCAGCACAGAGCCCGACATGGGGCTTGAACTCACGAAAACGGAGATCATGACCTGAGCCGAGGTCGGACACTTAACCCCAGGCACCCCTGGGCGTCAACTTTCTTTTAAAAAAAATTTTTTTTAAATGTTTATTTATTTTTGAGACAGAGAGAGACAGAGCATGAACGGGGGAGGGTCAGAGAGAGAGGGAGACACAGAGTCTGAAGCAGGCTCCAGGCTCTGAGCTGTCAGCACAGAACCCGACGTGGGGCTCGAACCCACAAACCACGAGATTATGACCTGAGCCGAAGTCGGACGCTTAACCGACTGAGCCACCCAGGCGCCCCCTTAATGGTAAATATTTGCTAAAATAATAACCTGTACTCCATGACTGGATGGGGGATGGCCATTCTAAATGTCTGTCATCCAAGGTTTTGAAATTCGAGACCTAATTTAGACAAGGGAATTCTATTATTTTTGGCCAGCAAAGAGCAGTCATATCCACCAGTACTATCATGGGCCTTTTCTCCTCTGCAGGTTTTTGCTGTTGTTTGTTTGCTTCCTTTTAAACCTCCTCTGCAGGGTTTGAATTTTAGAAGGCAAATGGTTAAAATGAAAAAAATTTTTTATCTTCCTCTTTGTGAGCAAAACCAACTTTATTAACCGCTAGAAATGGAAGTTGGCACAGAATTTGGGATGATTGTTACTGAGAGGTAGACCCTCAAATTTGGGGTGGATTTAATTAAAAAAAATTTTTTTGAGTGTATATTCATTTTTGAGAGAGCAGAGTGTGAGCTGGGGAGGGGCAGAGAGAGGGGGAGACAGAATCCGAAACAGGCTCCAGGCTCTGAACTGTCAGCACAGAACCCGACGCGGGGCTGGAACTCACTGACCTCGAGATCATGACCTGAGCTGAAGTCAGATACTTAACCAACTGAGCCCCCCCAGGCGCCCCTGGGTAGATTTCATTTTATTTCAAGTCGCATTACACTTCCCTAGCCTTCTTGTTCCGGATGCAGAGTAGCAAATGGTTAAAACTAAGTTTGGGTACGAAAAATCAACATATGCGGAATAAATGATTGTTTCCCTGTATTAGAGCAGCTACTAAGAGGAATTCATTGAGACTCTAGAGGAAAATAACGAGGATACATCAAAATTGGAAAACAGGGGCGCCTGGGTGGCGCAGTCGGTTAAGCGTCCGACTTCAGCCGGGTCACGATCTCGCGGTCCGTGAGTTCGAGCCCCGCGTCGGGCTCTGGGCTGACGGCTCAGAGCCTGGAGCCTGTTTCCGATTCTGTGTCTCCCTCTCTCTCTGCCCCTCCCCCGTTCATGCTCTGTCTCTCTCTGTCCCAAAAATAAATAAACATTAAAAAAAAAAAAAAATTAAAAAAAAAAAATTGGAAAACAGCCTCTGTTGGCCATTTAAAGTAAGGAGAGTTGACTTACGTCAAAAGGAAGGGAACAGTGTCCTGAAAATGGAAGTTAAGTGTTATAAGATGCCATTAAAGGGAGGTTATGGAACCTCCTTTTCTAGAAATGTTTAAAAACAAGACAGATCATCATGTCTCAGGAGAAGTGTTGAAGTTCAGTCCTGCCCAGAGGCAGGAAGATTAACTGGTTTTCTCCTGTGTGGTCTCTCAAGTCATTGGAAGAGCCCTCGAATGTAGTAAATATCCCACACTCTGTTGGCTGAAACTAGTGTTCATTTTAACCTTGGTTACTGTAAGGCCAGAATGAATAGTGTGTATAAGTAACAGAATTGAATTTGGATTTGAGATTGATGGTGTGAGTGTTGTGCATTGTATATGCCTGAATCGGTTGTAAAAGCACGAAAGTGTATGTAGTACTGAAACTCTTCAGAGCATAACTTATCTTTTTACGATTTAGAAAGTACCTGCTTTCTTGCAAGGTCTCGGTATCATTAATCACTCAATAAATTATTACAAATAACCGCTGTGAAAACTCTAGGATACAAGTGTGAATTGGGTATGGTTTCTGCCTTCAAGGAACTTAGTCGACCAGTGGAGATAAACCATATGCAAGGATCATATACATGGTTAATGAAAAACAGATCAGTGGCGTCAGAGTTGTGAGAAACCGGATTAAACAACATTGTAAGATTTCAGAGAGGAGAGATAATTCTTTTGGATTTAAACAATGAATATTTCCTGGAAGAAAAATGTATTGAATTGGGCCTTAAGAATACAAAGCATTTTGGGGGCACCTGGGTGCTTGAGTGTCCAACTCTTTCAGCTCAGGTCATGATCCCAGGGTCATGGGATTGAGCCCTGAGTTGGGCTCTGCACTGAGCATGGGCCTGCTTGAGATTCTGTCTCTCTCTCTCTCTCTCTCTCTCTCTCTCTTGTCTCTTCTCCCTCTCTTTCCCTACCTCTCCTTCACATGTTCTCTCTCTCAAAAAAAAAAACAACGAAAAAAAAGAAGAAGAAGAAGCATTTTGAAGGGTGTAAATGAAGAGGAGAACAAGGACAGGGGTGGAATTGTTCCTACTGATTCCAAGGTACAGACAAGTTCAGCAGAAGCATAAGGAAGTTAGGGGGCATGGACTGGAAATGCCTCTTTGCAGACAGTCTCAATGCCAGCTCACAGAGGTTGGGTTCTGCTTGTTCAGTGCTTACAATCCCTGGGAAATGATTAAGCATTAAAGGGTTCCTGTCTGTGGGAGGTCTGTAAATTGCTGTTTGGACTGCAGGGGGGGGAAAAGCTGTAGCCGGGAGCCCAGAAAAGTGGCTACTGGGTCCTCTGCGCCAGAGTTTGCTAAGGGGGTATGCTGAGAAACAATAGTGTCAAGGCATGCTCATAGGCATTACTTAAGAAAGGGTCTCTTCACTAAAATTAATTGGAGAAATAAAGTTAAGCAATTAAATGGGTTTCTTTGCTGGATAACTTTTCAGAGCCTTTAATATTGAGAATTGCATTGAGGATCTCAAATAGTGTGAAATTTCCAACACAATTTAATTGTTTTTTCATGGAATATCTCCTAAAATTACTGTTTTTGGATCATGCTTCGGGGAACATTGCCCTGTGCATCTGCTAATGACAGCTGGAACACGAGTGATGGTTATATGCATGGAAGTTGTGATTGGATGAGATTCCAAATGGGAGAAGCATCAGCCTTTCCCGATACATAGTAGTCATTTGGTAACTCTACAGAAATGCACCCAAGAGTGAGTTATTGGTTTGTTAGCAAGACTTGGCCCAAGATGGCACGCTGAAACAGGGAACAGAGTCCAAGGTGGAAATGTGGGGAGTTTAGAGCTTTAGCTACAAATGGTGGCATCATGGAAAGCTGGAAGGAAGTGGTTCCAATGCAAGTTGATCACTTGAGAAACCATGGGAAGTTGTTACTTGAGAAGCCATGGGAATCTAGCCAATGGCTTTAGCAGATGCAGAAACTGTGGACTTGGGTGAGAAGTCATTGTTTTTTTCTTACTAAATGTATTGTCAAATTTATTTATTTATTTATTTTTTTGTTAAGATATCTGGCTGTTTGCATTCGGATATTCTGCATATGAATAGCCTATTCATATGCAACGGACTCTAATCCAGTAAGATAACCATCAGTGTAGTCCAAAAGAAACTTCAGGATTAATAAAGCGTTAAACCTATAGTGTTTGTTGTCTTCATCAGACAGTAATAGGGATCCTCTTCTTCATCGTGAATTCTTTTTTGCAGTTTGATATACTCCTAGAAGTTTACTAATTTTTAATATTTTCTTCTTTCCTTCAGGTATTTGCCTTCGATTATTGCTTTTGGTCCATGGATGAATCTAACACTACAAAATATGCTGGTAAGTTGACTCTCTCTTCACTTGATTTTTGGGTCTCAGGACTCTTTGTCTGTTTTCTTTCCTCTGGAATTCTGTTTTTCCCATAAAATTCACACTCATTCTTTCCAATTCCAGCATGTGGGCTTTGAAGTCAACAAGGTTTATTTCAGGATCAGACTCTGCCACTAACTTGCTAAGAAGTCATGGGTGTGTTTTGTTTTGTTTTTTAAGCCTCGGGTTTTTCACCTGTGAAGGATGTTAGTATCTTCAGAGGTGTTCCATCAGTTAGAAATAATGGGGAACCACCTCAAGCGAGAGATGCTAGCTGTTGTGATGATCACGTGAAGAAGAGGTTTAATGTGCTGTGTCTTTCCTCGTCGCCAGCACTGTGGGAATTCATCTCTCCACCAATACAAGGAAAGCAGAGATGCTGTTGGTTTCCAGGACCCGCTCACGTCCTGAGTGTTCTTACAGTCATTGGTGATATGAACTCCACGTTCCTCAGGGAAACATGGCCTCCCAGCCTCACATTTTGCTAGTGTTCTTTCCTTGAGGCATTTCATTCCTAGTCCATCGAACATAGATGACTACTAATTTTTAATTTTTTAACAATGTTTATTTATTTATTTTTGAGAGAGAGAGAGAGAGAGAGA